GACCACTATAAATACTTGGCTACGCACAAAGGTGAAGGTACGTCTAAATTCCTACTGAAACTCTGCAGAAATTATTTCTCACAAACCCTAGCCACCACTTTCTTTCTCTCTCTGACACAAGGCTCCGGCCACCACACACGGCTCCGGCCACCCGGTTTTCCTTGAAATACCCTACCTAACTTTGGCATCGGAGGGCCTTTGGCCAACACCCCCCGGGTGTGGTCCTTTTACCCCGATCTGTTTTGCAGGGAGAAAGAGAAGTGGAGAAGACGAAGGAATCTTTGACAAATATTCTAGCGGGACGAAATTTGCTCCCACAGTATAGGACCTTGAACATTTCGAATCCTCAATCCATGATTTTAACCATTGATTACTGCCCGATTGTGCGGTCGTTGACGATCTAGCCATCGGATTGTAACAAAACCTTTCGGACGCAACTGCAGGACTGTTATGGACCTATAAGAACTCTTGGACTAGAGGTTAGAGGTCATGGGCCCCATTGGCCTAGCTGACCTAGATGGTGGGCCTAGCGGGCCTAATCGGGACCAATTGGTTAGGAGGTGCTTGTGATTTGGTTGTTTGTTTTAAAATGGTATTGTATCATGATATTTTATTAACTGTTAATGAGTTATTATTCTATCGCTTTAATTTTCCAAGCATGATATATTTATGTTTTATTGCACGGATTTAGGTTAAGTTGATTATAAATGTTTGGTTTTATGTTTATTTTTTATATATGTGTTAAATGGTTTGAAATTGGATTGTGTTGCCTTTGAAAATATGGTTGCCTTCCAAAATACTGATGTCTTCGGAAATATGGTTGCCTTAAGGAATATTGATATCTTCGGACATCCTAGATGCCTTCGAAAATATTGATGTCCTTGGACATCCCAATTGCCTTCGGGAAATAAAGGTGTGTTCGAACAACTCAATTGCCTTTAGAAAAGTCTATGCATGTATGACATTGCCCCACTAGTATCAGGGATGCTCAAACCTTGTGGTGCTAGGATTTGCATTCTTAGGATGAGTTTATCTCCCTGAGTTCTACTAGGATGTGTCACACATGTGGAGTGGACCTTTCCACATGTGTAGTACTGGGAATTGGTGGATTATCTATGAATTGACGGATTATGTTTAGGCGTACACCTATGTGGAGAACAGTGCATTACTCATATGTTTTGTATAGTTAACTCTTCGCCACCCTACTCATGTTATCTGCACAGGGTTGGTGCAAGGAGGTGCGCCTGCACCTCTAGTCGCCGAAAATCGCCATTACAGATGCTGGAGTTGCCACCTCTGCTTCAGACTAGCGATGCACATAATGTGTTCGATGAAATGCACAAACCACTAGTGTGCGCTTCTGTTTTTTTTTTTTTAACGAAGCCTGGCCAAAACGACCTCGTTTTGGACCAAGGTTTTTTTAAAAAAAAAAAAAAAAAAGAGAGAAAAAAAGAGGGGAAACTGCTGCTGTAAGTTGTAACACGTGGGCTTTTCAAAATGGCTTCTATTTCCTTACTTAATTGGGTTTTAATTGGGAGTTCTCTTTATTCAATTGGGTTTTGGGAATTCCTTAATTAAGTATAATTGAGAATTCTCTTTATAAACGACCAATTTAACATCACCCAATTTCATCAAAGTGTGTGTGCATCACAAGAATCCTGCGTTTTTTTTCCTTCTTGAGTACGCCAATCCAAAGTAAGTCGAATGCATTTTTTTTTTCTTGAGCAAACCCCAATTTTGTGTATTCTTTTTTTAATAATTTGTTTTTCTTATTTAACTCTCTTTGTATTAGTAAGATCAATAGCAAACTCAAGGAGGAACACGTTATTCGAGGTATAATTAATTTTTATTTGTTTATTTAATTGATAAATTATAGTCAATTAGTCATATTAATAGATCTAAAACCCTTATTTTGTTTTAATTGTACAGTTATGGAACGGTACTTTCAAAGAAAGAGTTTAAATCCTCTTTCAAATAATCCGGGTAGTTCAAATCCTCCTTCAAATAATCTGTCTAGTTCCAACCCTCCTTCAAATAATCCGGCTAGTTCCAACCCTCCTTCAAATAATCTGGCTAGTTCAAATCAACTTCAAACAATCTGCCTACTTCACATTCTCCCTTGAATAATTCGGGTACTCCAAAATGATCGGAGGTCACTAAGTTGGAAGAAATATTGGCTAATCTTCCTGCAGACCATAGACTTAGACCTCCAATGACTTATTATAATCCCAATTTTCAAGAACAAATCCAAAGAGCCTATCTGCAAAGGGGTTCTTGTCAGCCTAAAAGCCAAAACGACATGCCTCAAACACTTACTGGGTAGAGTAATCGACATTTTCTTGTGAAATGGTTTGATTCATTTGTTTGGTTGGAGTATAGTAAAGAGAAACATGTTGCATTTTGTCTTCATTGTTATCTTTTTAAATGCGACTTTGATAAACAAGGAAAGGCTGGAAGCGATGTCTTTACTGAGAAAGGGTTTAAAAATTGGAGGAAGGGACCTGAGAATTTTAGGCACCATGTTGGACAAGTTGGAAGTCTTCACAATAAAGGTACATAACATTGTATAGATTTAATGAATCAGAAGCAACACATTGAAACCATTGTGATCAAGCAGACAGACCAAGCTCGTATTGATTATCGCATTCTATTAATTGTCGCACTTGATTGCACTAGATATTTATTGCGACAAGATCTTCCTTTTCATGGCCATGATGAAAGCAAAACATCTAGCAATAAGGGTAATTATGTGGAGCTTCGGCTAAAATTCAAAAAGATCTTGTCAATTCTTGTGTCACTGAAACCATTGATGCAATTATTAGTGATATAGACGATGCATTCTTTTTATATTGGTAGATGAATCACGTGATGTTTCAATAAGAGCAAATGGCGGTGGTGTTGCGTTATGTGAACAAAAAAGGGCAAGTTATTGAAAGGTTTGTGGGTGTCCAATATGTCTCTGATACGACTAGTAGCAAATTGAAAGAGGCAATTGAGCAGTTGATTTCTTCAACAAATTGAGCATGTCCAGGCTACGAGGACAGGGGTATGATGGCGCTGGTAATATGAGAGGTGAGCTCAATGGTCTTAAAACACAGATTTTGAGATAATATCCTCAAGCATATTATGTCCATTGTTATGCACATCAACTACAACTAGCTCTTGTAGCCGTGGCAAAGGGAAATGAAAACATTGCTACTTTCTTCACAATGGCTAGTAGTGTCGTTAACATTATTGGAGCATCGTGTAAGCGTCGTGATGCACTTAGAGAGCAACAACAAAAAGATATTATGAAAGCTCTTGAAATTGATGATCTTGAAACAGGGCGAGGGTTAAATCAAGAGACTACTCTCAAACGTCCTTGTGATACACGTTGGAACTCACATTATGATACTTTACTTAGTATTAATACTATGTTTCATCCCGTGGTGAAGGTGCTTGAATGGATTGTTGATGATGTCAACCAAGATAATTTAGGTGAAACAAATAGGTTATTGAAAGAAATACAAACTTTTGACTTTGTGTTTCACCTATATTTGATGAGATTTATATTGGGAATCACAAATGATTTGTCAAAGGCATTACAAAAGAAAGATCAAGATATTGTGAATGCAATGATGTTGGTCCAAAGATATAAGCAAAAGCTACAATCCGTGAGGGATGATGACTTTGATGATCTGCTTGGCAAAGTATCAATATTTTGTGGCAATAATGATATTGACGTTCTAAACATGGATGATTTATTTGTACCACAAGGGAGATCACGACGTAAAGCTCAGAAAATCACCAACCGCCATTATTATCGTGTGGAACTATTTCTTAATATCATTGATAAGCAAGTAGTGGAATTGAATAATTGCTTCATTGAGGTAAATACTGAATTGCTTCTTTGTATGGCACATTTGAGTCCGGCTTATAATTTTGCAGCTTTTGACAGACAAAAAATACTTCGTTTTGCTCAATTTTACCCTCAAGAATTTAATGACCGAGACCTCATGAAACTTGAAGATCAACTTGGGCTTTACATTATTGATATGCAGAGCAGCACTAAGTTTTCATCATTGAACGGAATTACTTATCTGGCAGAAAAATTGGTGAATACAGGAAGGGGTAGAATATACAACTATGTATATGTACTTCTTACATTGGCTTTAGTTTTACCCGTTGCAACAGCTTCGGTTGAGAGAGCTTTTTCAGCTATGAATATTGTGAACACACCATTGCGTAACAAAATAGGGAAATCAATGGTTGAGTGATAGCTTGGTTGTTTACATTGAGAAATATGTTTTTTCTTGTATTAGTAATATAAATATAATGCAACGTTTTCATGATATGAAACCTCGTCGGCAACAATTGTAGGTTAATTGTAATGTTATTTTTTTAATTTATTGTGAATAACATTAGTATTGTTTAAATTATAAGGATGTTTAGTTGTCTTTTTTATTTTATTTATTTTATTTTTTTTGGAGCTCTTAGCTTTTGAAAATTGCACCTCTGCTGAAAAATTCATGGGTCCACCGCTGTCTCCAACCACCTACCCGACTTGTCTACATAGGTGGTTGGCTAGTTTCCCCCTTCCCCGATTGCCTTCGGATTTATGATATTTCCCACATACCTATTGGTGGGTGATAACAAGATATATGCACTATGCGGACAGTTGCAAGTATGGCTTTCAAGTAAAAGGTTTTATTACACATGTGTTTAGATGTACAATGATAAACTGATTGAATAGTTAGGTACATAATTTTAGGACATGACATTCAGTTTGTAACTTGTTGAAATTAAGTAAAGAATGATTCCATAATTTTATTGTTGCTTTCACCTTAAAGATTTCTGTATTATCTTAATTGTGATTTATGGTAGAAAGAATTACGTGTAGCTTGATCCCTCAGTAAGGGTATGTAGGCAACCTAGGCTAACCCGGGTGCAGCCGCAAGTTTAGGCTTTGTTTATTTTGCTCAATTGTCAAGAGGGTTTTGCTGACTTTTATGTTGGTAAAGGGGGGCCCGAAGCCTATTGAAACTTTTGCTAATTGATGTGTAGTTTGTACCTTGTGCTTGCTGAATGCTTAGGAAATAAATTGTGTTTGTTGTGAAGGTAGATTTTTGGGTTTAGATCCTTTTTCAAGGGAGGCTATGTTGATTTTCCTGTAGAAGTTAAGAAGTTGTTTTGGAATTAAGGCAAGAAGGGTATTTTAGTAATTTGGGCTGACACATATCTAGTGTCGGATAGGGATAGGGTTCTTCACATATTCCAAGGGGAAATTCAGGGCGGGTTCTTCACATATTGTGGATCAAAAGACTCTTGATAGAATTGGGCTTCAAGCCAGAAAAGCTAATGTAGTTGCATTGTGACAATGAGTCAGCTATCGATATTGCCCATAATCCAGTTCAACATGATCGAACCAAACATGTTGAGGTGGATAGACATTTTATCAAAGCAAAAATTGAGAAGAAGATCATTCGCCTACCATTCGTAAAATCAAAAGATCAATTGGCAGATACCTTAACAAAAGTTGTTTGTGGCAGAGTATTTCATGACTCACTTACCAAGTTGGACATTGGTGACATATATGCACCAATTTGAGAAGGAGTGTTGATGTGAGTCTCTTAATTAATCAAGGAGATTTATTTCCTTGATTAATAAAGGGATTTCCTTTCCTACTTTATATAGTTGACAAATCTTTGTATAATTAGGAGATACTATCCTAATTGATTACTGTATTTATTTCCTTATAAAGCACTCATGTAAACTCCTATATATACCTCCTTATGGACAAGAGTAAAACCTAACCCAAAGTATTCAAACCATATTCATATTTTAGCATGTACTGCTGTCCTCATTAGTTTCCTTGCAATGAAAGACCATTTTATTTGAACCAAAAAAAAAGATTATGTCTAGGAATTAAAGGTTCTTTAATTTTTTTTATTGAATGGAAGAAGACTTGTACTGGAGAGATTGAAGATAATTAAAAAATATAGTAAGAAGAAAGACTAAATGGTTGTTAATTAAGTAAATGTTAATTAGTTCAATTAGGGTAATATTATTTTTAAAGTACGTGTCCACTTTATATATCTTGGATGAAATTTTAATTGAGATGCATATGGAGAGGACAGGTCAAGCAGATTACAATAGAAAAAATCAAAGCATAGAAGCCAGATCCTCCAAATGGACCCTAAAATACAACATTTGTCATATATTTTGTATAAAAAGGTAAGACGGAGTGCGCAGATGTGTATTTGAGACCAACATATTCGAACACGGCGGGCATTACCTGATAGCAATGAGCGTCTGAAAGGTTATTGGGTTACAATCAAAGATCGGCTATCGAAATGAAATCCATGGCATTGAAACATAATGTGCCAATAAGATGTTGTGAAAGCTAAAATTCTGATAGCGTAGGCAGAAGTCAGTTGCCAAATTGTCCTGCCAAAAAAAGCATTCCTTTACTCTCATGTTCCTGCGTCGGTCCCTAAAAATCAACTTGCACACCTATCAACTAAGAAAAAGAATAAGGATATATAGAATACATAAATTGAAATGTGACAATTGTACGCGTCATTTGTTAAAGCATATGCTCTTTACTAAATGTGGGTTAGGGTTTAGCTCTTCTTATTCTTTTTTTTTTCTTTCCCTTGCATGCAACAATTAATTCTTTCTTTTTTGAACAAAATCACAACATAATCTTTAGAAGATGCAAGCAGTTCCTGGAAATTAATATTGTGACCAGAATCAAAGAGCATATAAGTGAGGGCTTCTAGTTTTTAAGAGAAAAATATAAAAAGAAAAAAAAAGTGAATAGAAAGTCTCATATAATAAATGGCTTCACTCTTAAGAGCACCTCCACCTTAAAAGGCAAGGCAAGGTTTGACACTATTCACGTAAATAGTGTTAGCCTTGCCTTTTTTGGTTCCACCCCAAAGGGCAAGAGCAAGGACAAATACTATTCACTTTACTTTATTGTCAATTTTTTTTATACTTTACTATTAATTTTAATAGTTTTTCAGATAATATTTTCGGTTGCCACGTGTCATTATTTATTATAAAATTCTCACCTAAAATTTCAAATCACATTTTTGGATTAAATTTTCAAATTAAATTTTTTGATAAAATTTCGGTTGCCACATGTCCATATTTATTAAATTAAAATTTTCCAATGGAATTTTGTAGTACAAAATTTGATATGGAAAGTGAAAAATACTGGAAAGAGATGAAGATTTGGTGCGGAAAGTGAACAATATTGGTAGGTATTTATAGAAAAAAAATTTCAGAATTTTTTAAATTTTTTATTGATATTTTTTTTAAAAAAAATTTAGGCATTGATGCCAGCAGCTTGAAGGCAATAGCCCAGTCCATTTTTGCATGTGGGCTTGCCCAGGCTAGCCTTTCTGCACTAGAGGAGGAATTGGGGCCTATTGCCATGGCAACGGCCTAGCGCTGCACATGCTCTAATAACATCGATGCCTTTTGTATAAAACCCCACACATACTAAACAGGTTATTAAGTTGGGGACAAGATCGATGTTGTTAATAGTGGGCTAAGGGTGTGTACCTCTGATTAACAAGAACAAAAAGAAAAACAAATTTTCCCAAAAAAAAAAAAGGAAAAACATATCCTTCAACAAATAAGAATTAAGGTTTATGCTCTCTTCTAATTTAGCTTGTAAAAGGTATCCATATATAATCAGGATATATAAGGAACCAATCTGAGTATATATTCCAAAATTGACAATTGTTTCGACATATTGGCCATTTTGATATTCTCTTGTACTTTTCAATATATTTTCGTTACAAGAGCAAAATCCGAGCTAGAAATATAAAAATTTAGAATACTGTACTATAAATTGAGGAAATAAATTGGGCATTTTGTGATAAAGATAATGCAAACCGTGAAAGTTATCGGATATGATATATCTCCTTGGCCAGAGGTAGCTAGATTGGGAGAGATGATGAATATTATTGTTTAGAAATGTTGTATACGGAATATTTCAAAAGAAAATGTATTGGAACTTTTAGCAAGCAAATATCAGGCTTGAACCACAAGCCAAGAATTATATATACATATCACATTAAAGTAGCTTTTTGAGTTGAGAAGGTATATATTATGAGAGGCAAAGATCTCTCGAAGGGACGTCTAATAAAATCAAACAACAGATTGTGCATGCATCTAAAGCCAAGCATCATGTTTGGTTGGCGAAATGGCAAGTCCACACAACTATCTAATGCCATGTCTGTAAGTGCTACCCAGTATCTGTAGGTTCTCTAATACTTGTCTAATTATATAATTTGATTTAGGTCTTCATGTTGTTCTGTTTCTTTCATTTGTCTGATAGATTGTGGAACTTTTGGTGCATATGGATTGTGAAGGATGCGAAAAACGGATACGAAGAGCGATTTCGAAAATAGAGGGCAAGAATTTATAATTCATTTTTGTTTCATCCATCTCCTTAATTAGTTTGATGCTTTCATATTTCTCCCTTTCCTTTTTTATTCTTTTTATTTTTGGATTTTTCTTTGGCAATATTCAGTTAGGACTTACATTTCTTTGGCAAATTCCTGGCTCTGCTCCTGTATAATATAATTCTTCTTTAGTTAATTACTTGTCATTTACATGCATATCTGTATGTAATGATGAGAATATAATATTGCATGCATGCATAAGTGCAGGTGTGGATAGCTTAGAAATAGACATGGATAAGCAAAAGGTAACGGTGACGGGGTATGTGGATCAGCGGAAGGTGTTAAAGGTTGTAAGAAGAACAGGAAGGAAAGCGGAGTTTTGGCCCTTCCCATACGACACCGAATACTATCCGTATGCATCTCAATACTTAGACGAGTCCACCTATTCGTCTTCCTATAACTACTACATGCACGGCTTTAACGAAAGCGTACATGGCTACTTCCCGGACCCTTTATACTCAACCGTCTCCGACCAAACTGTACATCTCTTCAGTGACGACAATGTTCATGCATATTGCACCCTTATGTGATCATCTTCTCACTCACCCTGCTAGCTTCTTAATTTGCAAATTAGTCATCCAAAAATGTTTTCAATTTAATTTGCTGCAGAAAAAATTATATGTACATGGGTGACAGTGTATGTGTATAGTAAAATTTGGCACATGACACGAAGTAAATTCTGGAGCAATGGTTTTTTTTTTTTTGCCACCAAAGCAATAGCCACGTCTAATGCATGTTCCATTCTTTTACTAGCGTTCAGGGCCACCCTAGGGATGGGCACCGAGTACTGGCGGACT